AGAATGCGAATACATCACGTGGGTGTAGCGCATTGTCAAAATTCCGGTCACTTATTAGTGCGCGTTGCAACAGATGTCACGGAACTGTGCGTGGTCAAGAAAGATATTTCGAACCATCTAAAGACCATTCGACGAGTTTGTCTAAGACATTGTGTTACATGACATTTAAAAGCGCGGATCGCGCGCGAGTTTGAGCGAATTTTCAATTGTCGGTTTAACAAAATTAAGATACGCTGCAATAAACTGCGTCAATACAATCGATTGGACGAAAACGAACTATACATAAATTTGTAAAATTTGCGAGCGATGGCAAGTGCACACGGGATTGTATCAAGTGTTAAAACGAAAATGAATTATCGATGGTCTGCGAGAAATTGAATTATCGGTAGCTCGTTAGGATCGGATCGATCGCAGTCGCGGAGTTCCACGTTTGTAGAAGAAAAATGATCGAGACAACTTAACTTGATTACATTAAATTTATTCCGTGTAAATAGAATCTCGACTAATTAGCCGATAGTTCATTAAGCTTGACTCCGAAGAGATTGTCGAACCGGCTATCTTGTTAATTCTACAAGATTCACTTAAGCTAACTCAAATTGACTTCGTATTTCGATACTGTAGCGCAAGTAGTCGGACATTTCGTCTCGTCGATATTTTCTCAAATGACGTGAAAATCTATTAAAGGCATTACGCGTGGGGTGCACAATCGAGCCAGGGCGACTTTAATCGTGTATGTAATGATTGACGAGCATTTTCTCAGTTTCGCGTACGAGTGCTTGTACAATTATGGCATATTTGCTGACATCATGGGAGCCTCCTCGATATTGGATGGCAAATACTTCAAGCGTACTTCAAGCCCTCGATGCACTTCTCGCGAACTTGAAAGATGCTACTCACAGTATATCGTAGTATGCGTTTTTTCTCACGCCTTGTCGATTCGATAATTCATTGTGAGAAATTGCACAACAAATCGTAAGGTTTCTATTAAATCGATTTATCAATTAGTTAATTTGATTTGATAATTAAGTTAATTCGGAATAATTAATCGATAGGCATTTTTTTGTGCTAAGTTCTTATTCTGGAAATTATGGAATTTTGGACAGGAAAGATACACAAGTGTGTATTCCGAGTTAGTTTTGCTGTCAATTGACGCACAATTCCACTATCTAAACAGGAAGTTGTGAATTTATACCTAAAGTGCGAGGAAGTTAATTATGTTAATCGGCCGCGCGAAGACGTAAAACACGATTCCCGGAGCACGAATTCTCGTCGAAGTTACAGAAGATAAACATTCGTCTGCTTTTGGCAAATTGACTCTTCCAGGTCTGCGCTATTCAGTCGAAGCATTAAACGAAGTCTTATTTTAAGTGAGGGAGTTAATCAGGATATTTCACGAAATATCTCTCGCGATCTCTTCGTCGGAAGCTTCGTCGACGCGGCATGTCGAGATAATTAATGGTCAACGTACCGCGACGAGGGACCTGATGATGTCACTTAACGTTTCCGACTCGACGGAAGTAGATACCTTGAAGCCCGCGAAGACGATAAACGGAGCTCGAGTCGCGAAATATTGCGCTTACGCGCCCCCGCGATTCCTAATGGATTTTCTCGGGCTGCATTTCGACACTCGGCGATTCGCTGCCGGCCCGCGCGAAACTTTGACATCGAAAGTCGTCGTCGCGACCCGGTCGAAAGTGCTGCCGACGTAAAATTGAAATTCCTCCTCCGAAACGCAAGCGGGGAAGATTGACGTGACGGTGCAATCGCGTACACGTGAGGCCTGTAAATACGTAGCTTGAACCGGAAAGCGGCGGACCTAAGTGGAAGTACGTGATAGCGCGAACCTGTCGAGTGTACGAGACGAGATACGTGATCGCGAGGGTATATATAGGAGCAGCTGACCTCAAAAAGGGTGAAGAAAGGCTGGCGGAGGCGAGAAGAGGTCTTAAAAATGTTAACAACCATGTCCACCGTCGCGTTCGAATTAAATTCATCGTATTACACAACGGCGATCGGCAACAGCGCGCTCGATGGATTCTCAGGTACTCTGCGTATCTGCGTATCCCCGTTTTCCCGTCGTGATACGGCGCCGTGTTAATCGCGTAAAGTACCTTACATGTGGAGGGTCTTAAGCGTTTCCGCATTATTCCAGTAATCGAGTCGGAGAACACCACTTCCGCGCTGTACATGCTGCCCGCCTACATCAGAACGACTTCGATGGTAGCCTGTATCGTCGTGATGGTTCTGGGTATACTCGGCAACTTGATGGTAATTCCAGTATCCATTACTGCCAGCCACAATTGTCCGCAATCGACGATACGATCGCTCGTAACTGAATTGCGTGTACTCGCCGCGATCCGTATTATTGCCGCGCGTCGATGTAATTAATCCTTGTCTTGGAATACGGCCGCTGTAGCTCTCCGGTGTAATGCTTCTCAGGTGCCGCTGGTCGTGCTGCAGGGTAAGGACATGAGGAACAGCACCAACATCTTCCTGGTGAATCTCAGCGTGGCTGATCTCTTCGTGCTCGTGATTTCGACACCTTCCATGCTAATGGAAATCAATTCAGGACCCGAGGTCTGGCTGCTCGGCGAGCACATGTGTAAGTCTGAACTCTGATCGCGAGCATACGAGAGCATGACGCACACTTTGATGTATTCCTATTCCTATCTCGTCGACTGCGCGCACATGGACACGGCGCGATGATGATTTGTCGGCCGGCTAAACCCAAAAATATCAAACGTCACGTATTTCCTCAATGGCATGCACACGTTGATGGATTCGCTGCGCAGCGTGTCGCGCTTTTTCCCCTTTTTTTTCCATACGTCGGTTCGTTGAACACGAGTTTTCTATTGCACGCGTGTTTTTCATTGCGCGGTAATTCGACCGGCGCTCTGCGTTTCCCGGAATTTCATTTCACGGTCGCGCGAACGTCAATGCTGCATTGGCAGGTCCTTTCTCTCCCTTTTTCAAAATACCAGCATTCACAAAGCGTTAAAATTAAAAGTCTTATAGCGATACTTACAGTTGACGCACCGATTTTGCCAGGAGACGTTTTCCAACCGTTGCTGTAGCCATTATTCGTTATATAGCAGTAAATACACGTGCACTTTAATGCACTTTCTATGTTTCCGTAATTAATATTCTCCTTTAATTAACTTTTAATAAAGAAAATATTGAAGTTAACATTGATTTCGTAATACATGGAAATAAAATTCTACCATTTTGCACGTGTATAAAGTAGGAAAAACGTGCGCCCTCCTCAGCTATAGTCATGCAATTCGAGCATTAATATCATTGGACACCATCCAAGAGACGGTTTAGAGCTGGTTCGCGTTGAATTGTCTCATCGCGCGGTGGACACAAGCTTTTATCTAGAGTGCGTATCACTCTGCGATGCCACGCCGTGCATCGCGTGAATTCCTCGAGAATCGATAGAAAGATCCGGTCCCATTTTGTTATGGAATCGCCAAAAAAACTACGTTGACTTTTCGTCGCGCGTAATGAGTTGCAAATCTACCATCTCATTCACCGTCGCGCAATTAAATAGCACACTCGACGTCAAGTCTAATCCAGTCTTACTCCATTTTTATCTCAGCCGTGCATTGAGCACGGTTTTAACATGAAATGTTCGACTGAAATAATCGTCGTTCTGTGAGAGGCAATCGATGTAACACTGCAGGTGCATTTAACTTTCAAAGCTTTAATTTTTTACTCTTTTATTGATCAATTAATTGTTAAAATATAAAATTTTTATTTATTATATTTATTTTAATTGATGATAATTATGGCAATCAAGTGTTTAAAATAGTAGAAATAAAAAACTGTAACAATCCTAGTTTTAAAAGGAAAACAGAATTATTGCAAGAACAAACGCATAAATGTAGTGTCGCATTGTGCGGACGATTTGTCATTCCTTTTGCATTTACTTGGGTTGCATGGTCTTTAAGAGAATTTCATATTTACTCAGGAAAATGAATAAATTCATACTACTAATTAATAATTAAATCTATACCACTAATTTATAATTAAATCGGTCAACTGAAACAATAGCTGAACATAGCTAAAGCAAAAGCTAGCTTTTGCTAAACAGTAATGTAATTTATTTTTAGCAATTATTTCTGTAAAAAAAATTTCTTGGTAAATTGTAAAATAATTTAACAAACGCTCCTTATTGATCCTCATTTAAATTGCTTCTTATATTACTATTATCGAGACCGCTACAATTGTCATTCTTTTTATTAATTTGTAACTCAATTTCAAGAAAACGTGGATTTTCTTGAAATTCAATTTTAACTGTTTGTTTTGGTGGCACATTTATCAAAGATGCTAGAAAGCAATTAATTATTTTATTTCTTTGATTATTAAATTAATTAATCAGTAGGAGCGAAATAGAAAGAAAAAAATAAGAAATCTATAAAATATGATCTTTGTAAGGACGTAGTTTATACAATTATATCTAACATTATTGAAATATCAAAGCTTTTGCATAAAAAAGTCAAAGGCACAAATCGTTTATCGATTGCCAACTGCTCGGAATTGGCATCGATAACCCACCGTTTGCCATGAATTGCATGCATGAATGACGTATTTTATTTACACGCCGCGTATTTCCCGTTCGATCTGCGCTGCGAACGAACTTCGGGATATCTGTGCACGTAAACCGTTGATACCATATGGTGTTGCATGGGCGTAAGATTCTTCCGGCTTACAATTTCTTACGAGCGGCTGCCTGTATATCGACTCTTGCGATCCTCTTCGCTCGCGCAGAGAAGTACAAGAGAGGGTAAAACCGCGGCGGCGGCGGCGGCGGCGGCGGCGGTGGCGGCGGCGAAAGAGTCGAGGTTGAATCAACCAGTGGAGTAGCGAGAACATCGTGAGGGGTCTCTATGGACTGTATGAGATGCGTTTACCGTGGCGCGAGGGTGGTCCAGATGGGGTGTGGTGCGAGGAGGGGGTAGCATTTAGGCGCGTCTGGGTTTTATGAGGCGCATACGGCGACGCGCGCCTTAAGTTGATGTCCTCTCTTCCTCCTCCCTTTCTTTCTCTGACATCGCGACATACCTCGCGTCCGGCATTCCTCGCCGCCTGCCTCTCACGGTCGAGGTCGCGTAGCGCTTATTGCGACGTAAAACATCTCGGCAGCGGCATGATCAGAACCAGGGTATTTCACTTAAAAAAATGAAAAAAAAGTGAAAAGTTGCACTCGCGCGTCCGTCAGCGCGACGATAAATCAGTCTGACTCGCGCGCGCGTCGCGACTACGTTCGCGGAATTCTGATTAAATTCTTCGATACTTTATCCAGTTGAGCTCTCGGTGATTCCATTTGGAATCATTAATTTTCAGCGCGCATTGTGACTGTATTATGAACTCGGCGAATCGGTTTAACGTTTCTGTAGAAGTAGTTACTTTTGCCAATATATCGCAGCGATTTTATCGGATGTTAGCGAACGTAGTGTTTCTTTTATTACGGAATGTTTGTACGTGATGTATACGTGTGCTGTTGTAAGGTTTGCACGTGTGGCTTTGATTTGTTATGTGAATTGAGTATTTGCAGTTACATAATGCCGAAGCAACGCTGTTTTGACATTACAAAACGCAGAAGAATATCGATTTAACTGTAACTATTGTTTATCCAGTAACACGTAAACAAAACATTTTTTTCCATATTCGGTAAACGAAACATTTGCTTAACTGCATTTATAAAAGCAACGCTTATGTTTTGCCGTCAGCGCCTGCAGATATAACATGACGAAGCAAATCAAGAAAATCAAACAAAAATATCTTAATACAGAGGGAAAAAGCAGAAAATTTTTTAACGCATTTATGTACATGTAATGTACTTTATAAATATGTAATATTTTTGTATACAATTTTTTATTTTTTTTATTATTTAATGTTATTAAAATTCGGACTGTTCACTTGTACATAATTTACGTAATATCTAGTTAAAAGTTTATTTGACGCAGTTTTAAATAGAAAAGGTTGGTGCCGTAATTATTATACGAGTTACTCATCACAAAACGCTCAGATAACGAAGGCTTGAAGTGACATATGATATTTTCCTTTGTTCTTGAAACAGTGACTAATGACCAAGATGGAATTATAAATTATCAAATTTATCGCATTATTATTTAATGAACGTCGGTAATAAAAACACAGTAGTTTATCTGATAATAAAGAAAAAAATGCTATAACCTAATAAAACCTATATTTACATCGACAAACATTCACCACGTCAATTCATAAAAGCGCGATAACAATTTTTCTTCTATAAAATAAAACGTCACCACCGTGCCGATGAATATATCAGATTTTATTCATCGGTGTGAAACTTTTGAAACGGGATACGCAACAATTTGACGTGTCATCACACTGCGATTGAGGGAAAAAATATAAAACGTAGAAAACTCGTAAAAACATCTGCAATATTTCTTATCAGAAAATTCTTAATCCGATTAAAAGCTTTTGATCAACTAGGATTACGCAGAATTTATACACTCTTATCTAACAATTTTTTTAATACTTTTAAAAAATAGCTACAAAAATTTTTATTATAAAATGAAATTAATGGAAAAATAAAAAAAATAAAATTGTATTTTTAATTCTTTGCTATATATTTCTTTTTTTTTTTTTGGTCTTAATTTTGCTATATATTTATCTTTTTTCAATTAGCTTCCGCAAATAGAAAGTTTTTATTGTACTTCTTTGGGACAAGTTCTTTACCAATACAATCTATCTCTCTTCTCTTCGTAATTGCTTTGTTTCGTCGAAATGATTCTTTCTAAAATATTGAACAAAAACGTTTTGTTGAACATCCGGCTCGATTCTTGATGTGACTCTAGTAAACACCATTTTTAGTGAACCATACGTATCACAACATTTGTTCCATTTGCCGTGTGACATGCTTTTTTGTTTTATTCATCGAAAAATTGTACATTACATTGTAACATCTATTTTCATTTTGCAAGTCAAACTCGCATTAAACATGTGAATCTTTTACTCAAGGAAAAAAGCGATGTCGCGTAAAAGCATCATCACGTTCAACTATAAGTTACTTATCTTGTAGAAATACATACAACTGCTTTGCTTTTGGAAAGTTTTTTCAAAACGGTAAATTGGATTTATTTATTAATTATCTTAACCAGAGATTTAATTATAATTAATAAATATGGTCGTTCTTAAAATGTAACTACGTTTAAAATAAAACTTTAAGTTTTGCTTATATTCGCTCTAGTTAAATTAGATTTTGAAGTTTATTTAGCATTTTATGGGACAGATAAAAGTCATGCAATTATAAATATTAATTATAGCAAAGAGTATGAGATTCCACAAAATGAAAAATAACGATTTATGAGTATGCATTTAAAATGACTTGTTTTTGCAATTAGAGATTAAAAAAATAATCTGCGATTATTTAACTTTATGAATACTTTATGAATACTGCTGTTGAAGTGTTTTGACTCTCGTTAAAATCTAATAAAAATAAACGGACTTGATCTTTCCACGACGGAAAGATCAATCTGCCGGTGAAATCATCGAGTGTCTGTTCGGAAGTTTTGTATAAAATAACATGTTTCGGGGTCATCATACTTCGCGGAC